TAATAAAAACATTCGAGGTACATGTTTTTTAATCTTCAAATTAATAGACATTTGAAATACTTTTTTTCAATATTTTATATTTACTAACTTATTAGAAATTAACAATTTTAATACAGGATATCAACAGGGGATTTGGTATATAGATGCAAAACTTGGATTGAATACGTGCAATAACTTGATGAAAAGTATATATAATGATGTAGGAATAAATATTGAGAACCGTGATATTGTCAATCACTCAGGAAGAACTACCCTGATTACATTTTTATTTCGTGAAGGTGTTCCGATTGTTACTTCTATGTCAATTAGGGGTCATAAGAATGAATCTTCTTATAGAATTTACTCAAGACCAAGTGAACAACAAAAAAAAAATGCATTATCTACTTTAATTAATGCCGTAAACCTTCCCGAAGCTCAAGATTTACCTGTAAATGTTGTATTTTATTAATTTTATTTATTTAATAAATATTTAATAATGTATTTAAAATTTTAAGAGTGATAACAACCATGATACTATTTATTATCATGATACTATCCACAACTATGATACTATTCATGACCATGACTCTGTCACTATTCACGACCATGACTCTGACACTATTCAGAACTATGATACTATCGAAGAGAATACCGACCAAGACACTGCTGATGAAATTCAAATGAAGGTATATAGTACTGTTATTTTTAATTTTTTTACTTATAAACTACTTAATTTTATTTATTAGTTACCTAGTGGTGGTTCAGATTCACACACTAAAAAAAAAGATCGGTTAATTCTGAGTTTCGAATATCTCTGAAAAATAATACGAAATTGAACTTACCACTTCATATAAATGCGACAAAAAAAAACCTGACATTAGGTAGACGACGGTCTCTACGACGTAAAAAATGGAGTTCGCAAGATTCTCATGATAGCGCTGCAAAAACTGGGACTACAATTATTAATAATTACTATATCAATGCAGATCATGTCACGATTAATAAATAAATATATGTGCAAAATACATAAAATACAGATACAATATGTGTAAATGCAAAAATTATATATGCGATATAACTATAAAATATAAGAAATATAGCTATAAAATATAAAAATGGCATAAAATTATCAATTTATTTTATAGGCTGATCATAGTAAAGCATTGGATAAAAATATATATCAAGATATAAATATATATCCAAATATAAATTTATATCTAGATATGAATATATGTTTAGATATAAATATATTTGGATGTATCCAGATATAATTATACTTTTGTAATAATCAAGTAATAACTTTGTCGATTATTATGATATTTTAGAATAAGCTCATACTTTATATATTGCAAAATAGTCTAATTAGAATCTAATAGACTATATAAATAAAGGATTATAGTATACTTGTTAGTGAGTCTTTAAGTTAATTTTTAGAAGGTTTTTAGATGGTTTTTAGAAATTACTTCTTTGGGTTTAATTAGAAAATATTATTAGTACTTTTGGTGCCTTGTGTATAATAATAAATACTTGGTTTCTTTATTTTAATGCTTACAATATTAAGTAAATTGGCTAGTTGATATAAAGTCTCTTTCTCAGGGCACAAAATTTTCAAGTGAAGTAACCTGCTTTTTTGCTAGCAATTTCTTTTTTAATAGAAGGTTCAAATATAATGACCAATAAAATTTATCTAAGTAATATAAAATTTTTGATTGATGAAAGTCAAGGCAGAAATTGTTTTAAATAAACAAAAATTTCTAAAATTTTATAATAAGTTTTGTGCTTTGCTCTTCTCTGGTTATAACAACATAAATATATCTGAATAAATTAGATAGATATTATACTAAACCACTATGTTTTTTAAATATAGTTAATTTTTCTTTCTCTGCACAATTTGTAATCTTTAATAAAGGATTTTAAAATATTGTTTTAGTTTACTAACCAATAGATAAGACAATCTCTTTATAGATAATACTGTCTATTCCATTAGTTAACTTCTTAAATATAAAGTTAATTTTAGTAGCAGGTTTTGCTTTATTCTTATTAGAAGACTACTAATTTTTTATATCTAATACAATAGATTAAATTTCCACTTCCATCTTTATCTTTTAAATAATACTGGGAAGACAAAATAAAACTATTTGCTTTTATATCTTTAATTTAAATAATTATAATTATGTTTTTGGTAATTTTTTTCTACTATACTTTGTTAACCTCTTTTTAAAACTAACCAACTTTATTTTTACTATCATAAAATTTTAGAACAATAAAAAAAATTGCCAATAAATGAATCAATAAGTTTTCAATATCTGTTAATGCTAACAATTTATTAATTCTGTAGTAAGTTATCAATTCGATCATTAGTAGAGATAGATATTATTATTTATTATTACTTAATATTTTATTTAATTTTTACATAGTAAGTAAAAAAAACTAATGCTTGCAAAAGCAATCTTGATTGTTAGAATAAAACTCCAAAATTATGCTTTATATATTGTATTCATAAATCATAATAGCAAAAAGAACTGCCCTTATATAATAAAATTGTTAGATATATTTTAACTAATAGTGCTAGATATTAATCTTTATTGAGAGATATATAATACATTAGTGCAATTAATATATATTGAAGAAATATATAGCATTTTTTCTACAAAAAAAATATTGATTGAACAATAAGATCTACAAAAAGATCTAATAGAAGAAAAAACATATGAATTTTCTGTTGCTCTGCCAATTTGCTTGCAAATATTTATCTATTTCCATGATATTAGTCTTTTTTGAACACTTATTATCTGATACTGGTACTCATGTTACAGCAAGAAGAACTTGTTTTGCACCAAGCTTAGTAAATAAAATACTATTCTTAAAATAAAATTTCACATTTTTAGAGAAAAATAAATTTCATTTTTTTTGCCTTTTATTATACATATACTGTATATATATTTATATATATATAAATATATATATCTTTTTTTTACATACAAATGTATCAAATTTTTATTGTTATATATATACTATATATATTTATATATATGTATATATATATATCTAATTTTTTTATTATTTTTCTGATTATACATATACTGTATATATGTTTATATATATGTTCTGTTTTTTTTGTTTTTTCTTCTATTAGATCTTTTTGTAGATCTTATTGTTCAATCAATATTTTTTTTGTAGAAAAAATGCTATATATTTCTTCAATATATATTAATTGCACTAATGTATTATATATCTCTCAATAAAGATTAATATCTAGCACTATTAGTTAAAATATATCTAACAATTTTATTATATAAGGGCAGTTCTTTTTGCTATTATGATTTATGAATACAATATATAAAGCATAATTTTGGAGTTTTATTCTAACAATCAAGATTGCTTTTGCAAGCATTAGTTTTTTTTACTTACTATGTAAAAATTAAATAAAATATTAAGTAATAATAAATAATAATATCTATCTCTACTAATGATCGAATTGATAACTTACTACAGAATTAATAAATTGTTAGCATTAACAGATATTGAAAACTTATTGATTCATTTATTGGCAATTTTTTTTATTGTTCTAAAATTTTATGATAGTAAAAATAAAGTTGGTTAGTTTTAAAAAGAGGTTAACAAAGTATAGTAGAAAAAAATTACCAAAAACATAATTATAATTATTTAAATTAAAGATATAAAAGCAAATAGTTTTATTTTGTCTTCCCAGTATTATTTAAAAGATAAAGATGGAAGTGGAAATTTAATCTATTGTATTAGATATAAAAAATTAGTAGTCTTCTAATAAGAATAAAGCAAAACCTGCTACTAAAATTAACTTTATATTTAAGAAGTTAACTAATGGAATAGACAGTATTATCTATAAAGAGATTGTCTTATCTATTGGTTAGTAAACTAAAACAATATTTTAAAATCCTTTATTAAAGATTACAAATTGTGCAGAGAAAGAAAAATTAACTATATTTAAAAAACATAGTGGTTTAGTATAATATCTATCTAATTTATTCAGATATATTTATGTTGTTATAACCAGAGAAGAGCAAAGCACAAAACTTATTATAAAATTTTAGAAATTTTTGTTTATTTAAAACAATTTCTGCCTTGACTTTCATCAATCAAAAATTTTATATTACTTAGATAAATTTTATTGGTCATTATATTTGAACCTTCTATTAAAAAAGAAATTGCTAGCAAAAAAGCAGGTTACTTCACTTGAAAATTTTGTGCCCTGAGAAAGAGACTTTATATCAACTAGCCAATTTACTTAATATTGTAAGCATTAAAATAAAGAAACCAAGTATTTATTATTATACACAAGGCACCAAAAGTACTAATAATATTTTCTAATTAAACCCAAAGAAGTAATTTCTAAAAACCATCTAAAAACCTTCTAAAAATTAACTTAAAGACTCACTAACAAGTATACTATAATCCTTTATTTATATAGTCTATTAGATTCTAATTAGACTATTTTGCAATATATAAAGTATGAGCTTATTCTAAAATATCATAATAATCGACAAAGTTATTACTTGATTATTACAAAAGTATAATTATATCTGGATACATCCAAATATATTTATATCTAAACATATATTCATATCTAGATATAAATTTATATTTGGATATATATTTATATCTTGATATATATTTTTATCCAATGCTTTACTATGATCAGCCTATAAAATAAATTGATAATTTTATGCCATTTTTATATTTTATAGCTATATTTCTTATATTTTATAGTTATATCGCATATATAATTTTTGCATTTACACATATTGTATCTGTATTTTATGTATTTTGCACATATATTTATTTATTAATCGTGACATGATCTGCATTGATATAGTAATTATTAATAATTGTAGTCCCAGTTTTTGCAGCGCTATCATGAGAATCTTGCGAACTCCATTTTTTACGTCGTAGAGACCGTCGTCTACCTAATGTCAGGTTTTTTTTTGTCGCATTTATATGAAGTGGTAAGTTCAATTTCGTATTATTTTTCAGAGATATTCGAAACTCAGAATTAACCGATCTTTTTTTTTAGTGTGTGAATCTGAACCACCACTAGGTAACTAATAAATAAAATTAAGTAGTTTATAAGTAAAAAAATTAAAAATAACAGTACTATATACCTTCATTTGAATTTCATCAGCAGTGTCTTGGTCGGTATTCTCTTCGATAGTATCATAGTTCTGAATAGTGTCAGAGTCATGGTCGTGAATAGTGACAGAGTCATGGTCATGAATAGTATCATAGTTGTGGATAGTATCATGATAATAAATAGTATCATGGTTGTTATCACTCTTAAAATTTTAAATACATTATTAAATATTTATTAAATAAATAAAATTAATAAAATACAACATTTACAGGTAAATCTTGAGCTTCGGGAAGGTTTACGGCATTAATTAAAGTAGATAATGCATTTTTTTTTTGTTGTTCACTTGGTCTTGAGTAAATTCTATAAGAAGATTCATTCTTATGACCCCTAATTGACATAGAAGTAACAATCGGAACACCTTCACGAAATAAAAATGTAATCAGGGTAGTTCTTCCTGAGTGATTGACAATATCACGGTTCTCAATATTTATTCCTACATCATTATATATACTTTTCATCAAGTTATTGCACGTATTCAATCCAAGTTTTGCATCTATATACCAAATCCCCTGTTGATATCCTGTATTAAAATTGTTAATTTCTAATAAGTTAGTAAATATAAAATATTGAAAAAAAGTATTTCAAATGTCTATTAATTTGAAGATTAAAAAACATGTACCTCGAATGTTTTTATTA